AGAATTTGATGGCCATCTTGAACTGTGCCTGTTGCAGTTTCTTCCATTGCATTCGCTTGATTTGGACCTCTGCTACCTCCCTGAAACGTGTTCGGACGTTTTCCTGAAAGGTTTCCCAGGAGGGAAGGCGATGTCTCCCACTGTGTGGGTCCTTGTAGTGTCATTGTTGATGGACCCACCAGGTCATCGCTTCCCCACCAAATCGGTGGGCTGCAAAGACTACTCGACTTGGGCCATACCCATATGCTTCATTGAGTGCGAAGTATTGGGTAAAGACCTCAAAGTAGTATTCACAGTGATTAAAGAAGCAATCTAAGTCGCTGGCCTTCCCATGGAATTTGTCAGGGACTTCTATCAGCATCGGTTTTATGTTTCCCCAAGGATTGAGTTGTCCATCGGAGATAACCCATCTATTTGGCGGATCAGGGGGTAAAGGGAGGTTGGTAGGTCATGGTAGTGATTGGAGATTTTGATCACTATGGGGTGACGGTGGTTGTGCCGGAGGTCGAGGTGGTATGGGTGGAGGTCCTCCTCCACCTCCTCCACCTCCTCCTGGTTCTCCTGGGCCACCACCACCTCCTCCGGGAATCATGGGTGCTGGTTCACCCTTTTTTCCCGTTGGCATGGTTTGTGAGGCTTCTCTGACCATGCTACGAGCATGAAAGGTGCCTCCTCCTGCTGCTTCCATTCCTAAGGTGTTGGAAGGTGCCCAGGTGACATCCAGAATTGGGTTTTCTGGGCCCACTATTCCCAGGTTAGGAAATGATTCCACACTGTAGCGCCTTCCTGATGCTACGGGGTGGTCGGGGTGTATTTTGTTCCAATCAATGGTGGCATGATACCATGTTTCAGTGCGAAGTATCCTGTCTTCCAGTTCAGAACCTAGTTCTGCAGCATTGTACACTTGTCCTTGATCAGACATGGTCCAATCTACATTGTACTGCAATCGTCTGCTTGTCCATTCTAACATCTGCTGCCATGTTAGATCATATATCTGCCGGTCTGTAAGCCCCTGTGCTTGAGCCCTGGACAAACTTGGGTGGGTCGTTGGAGGGGCTTTCACTTCGGGGGCTACTGGGCTCATCCTCCTGGAGCCATTGTTCGATGACCATCCCAGCCCTGGTCTAGGGATCTGTCCTATTGTCGTGATCGGGCAGGTAGCCAATGACCTGGTATCTGGAGAATATTGTATATCCTGCATACCAGTCATCGTTCCACTGCCATATGCCCCAGAAGTATCGGCGGTACTCATCCCAGATCTCCAGGGCATCTTCACATCCCCAGATCCAGGGCCATAGTCCTCGGGGAGGGAGGAAGCCTCCATCATAACTGTCAGGTAAGAATCCTCCCTCTGGTGCAAGGAAGGGTTCAAGCTCAGCAGGGGGCTTTGCTCCCTCGTACTCGACCATGGCCAAGGCTCTGAGATGGCGACAGATGGGGCAATTGCAGTAAGGGTATGGATGGGGAGAGGTCTGGTCAAGCTCCCTCAGGATGCAGTTCAGGAGGACGATAGGGTCCGGAAGGGGTTGGTCTCTGGCAAACCAGTCGAGGATCCTGTCTCCTTCTGGGGTGTCTCCTGGAAAGATGACCCACTGGCCCCCACTAATCAGGGATCCTTGGTGGGTGTAGTACTCTGGGAGCTCCTCATTATTACTGTTGGAGTATTCAGTGAATACAATGTCGTCGGGTCCATCTCCGACGGCGTCGTTTGTGGAAGTTTCTGAGATATGGGCAAAACGTGGCTCAGCGAAATCTCTGAGGTCGGCGATGGTGATAAGGGTCCGGGGGAGGACTTCGGACTCAGGTCAGAGAGAGGGCCAGACAAAGTCTGACTCATGGATGGAATCGTCATCCCACCATGAAGGGGGTCCTTCAACTCTGTAGGTTCCATCGGGGGTGTATGACGAGAGAGAGGTTGGAGCGTCATGCCACTCCAGCTCTGGAGATTCATCTCTTCGATGTCCTCCTGCATCACCCACTCCCCATACGTCTCCTCTGTCCCAGGCAGGGAGGAACGGGTTTTCACCTTCTTCAAAGGTGGTTCTTTGCCTGGTTTGTCCATGGACAATTCGGTTGAATGTGTCGATGTAGAACCCACTCATTCCCCTTCGATAGAGACGTTCTCCATCATCGTCGAACCCTGGGATGGCTGCTGATAACTCTGTGGAGATTGATGGCTCCCTGGAGTCATTGTCGTCGCCCCAGGTCATGGCATCCCAGGACCCATCCGTATTGGTCCAATACTCGGTAGTAAACCTGGGGTCGACTCGGTCATCTCCGTCGTCTGGAGGGATGCCGAGTCATCCGAGATCTTCTTCCCAAAGGGATTCTTCGCCTTCACCATCTTGCTGATCCTCGCTCTGAAGCTCGAGCATGGGGGCTCGGTCTTCTCCGTCGGATAAGGGAGGTCGAAGTGTGTCTCGCTCTCCCCTTGGCCATGGGGTAACTGACCTGAGCTGGACGGTGCTTCCTGTTCGCGAGGTTCCTGTTGATGAGCCATTGAGTCCATGTACTCTCCCTCTTCCAGGGGTCAGTGCTCTTTGGTGTCGGGTTGGTCGGGTAATGTGGATAACTGCGACTGCAGTTAGTAGTGTCAAGATACTGAAGGTACTTCTGAAGATAATGGCGGTGTGGTCTGAGGGGGTGAGAGGCATAAAGTTTGTTGTACCACAACGAATGTTTATGATCTCGAGGTATGGTGGGTGCCGTTTTTTAAATAACAGGCTGAAGATTTCTTTGGAAGTATAACAGTGACTGCCTTGAAGCGGTACAGTTACCGTTGACAATGGTAAGGGTAGTAAGGGCAAGCTTCAGCTAATTGTTAAGCACTAACTCTAATCTGAACCAAAGCTGATCTCTATCCTGTCACTCGCGTTCAGTGATTCAGTGTTAGAGAGACATTGGTAGATTGTGAGAAGTTAGGTGTCACTTATAGCGAAAGCAGGGAGCTTGTAAGAGTTAGGAGTATATAACCTTAGCCGAAGCTGGGGTCTGAGGCCACAGCATAGGCTAGCTTAAATACATGTTAGGCTCATACTAATAATAGTATCTACAAGGGCACATGCAACGAGAAGTGTGCCCTTCAACAAATGAGGAGGGAGGACACTAAAAGAAGTGTACTCCTGACGAATGAGAGTAAAGAGCACATGTCACCTGTATCTGTATGGGACTCCGTCTGAATAGGCTGCATCCCGTAGACCACCCTCGACTAGCAGTCGACTCCTGTCCCAACTACTAAGAAGCATGATGCCATCAAGAGAAGCATGATGGTGCATGCGGTTTGTCAGTCATCCGGGATGCAGCAGCTGTGAACTGGGGTGATGGCAACCGAGTAACCAGGTAAAGAGTGTGCCGGTGGAATATCGTGAGTCCAAGAGATAAGATAGGCAGGTCTGGGGTTAACGAGAGATAAGGATAAGATAAGATAAGATAAGGAAAATAGGGGTAAAACTGTAATAGTCAGTATCTAGAACCAACTGATCATGATGAGTCAGCCACCAAGACTCAGATATAAATTCAAAGGTTCAAATTGTGAAACATCTTGACCTCTGACTCAGCTGACAAAGGCAAGATGGTATGTTGCAACCACTCATCACTTGTATATCAAGGCTATATCATATTTATTCTAGGTGACAGTCACATATTTTTCCATCACAAAAGTTTCCAAATTGAAACAAAGATATGTCTTACATAATGGTCTAGAAGAGAGTTGCAGACCAAGATGCTGGTATGCCACATCCAGTAAACTATTAGGTCAGCCGGCCAGCTCAAAGAGACCTTGAAAATATCTTGCCATCCTTTTGTATGGAGACAGAGGAGGTCCCTCATATAGTACCTGTGAGCAAAGGAGCATCACTCCTGTCATGCAAGATTGCCTCCTGGTTGAGGGTCTAATGAAGGTGTGCAAGATGGTGGCATGTGAAAACTGCAGTCTACATCTCACATGTTCTGCATGAATATCTTACCAAATGCAGACTTATGTACGACTAACAACATTATCTTTTAGCATCTCTTGTTTTTTTGAGCCAGCTGCCATTCTCAGAGTTGCTGTTGAATGGAGGATGTCGTGGATGGATGCACACTGCGCAGATCCGACTACTGTACCATTTTGATCAATTCAAATGTGATCCAAGAATTTTTGACCAAAAAAAATTCAAAAGAAATCAGAATACAGTAATCGAGAAAAAATCATTTCCATTGCCAGATTTTTTTGCTGTGATGCGTGACATTCGAATTGAACGAAATGGTACAGTATCAGTATTTCATTTTAAGGATGACATCCATGTGCCTTGCCAATGTCAAATGGCATCTGGGGGCTGCTAAAGGACCACTGGAAGGTAAATAAACTGTGATGTGATCCTACAGTAATGTCACATCAAGCATAGAATCACACTGTATGAGAACAACCCTGAGCTAGTTCGAGTGTAGTAAAAGATCGGTCACCCTTTGTTCAATGAAAATAAGTGTACGCTTGGGACATTCATATTTAATAAGAGAGGATATAAGTACGGGATCTAAAAATGAGGGTGAGTAATATGACAATGAATGTAGTAAGGTATACATACCTCAGTCGGGCACAGCGAAGGTGAAACGACGAGGTATCTAGATACGTACGGCTAGAATATATACGGTGATCAGAAAGGACGGGAGGCACGTAAGTATATAAGGTAAGTAAGAACGGAAGACGGTTGAACAATAAGCATACGGGTATACAAGACGGACATCCTTCAACAATATTGTCCCAGAGCAGAAGAGATGGATACGTAGATGATAGAATTTTTGTGTCTTTTGTGTCAGATTGTTCTTGTAACTAGTACACCACTTTGTAGTTATACGAATCAGGTCCTGATAATACGCTACCTACACAATACAGCGGGATTCATTGGATGTGCGCACCTCGATCATGGTCTGGTTTGTCAGCGACACCTTAGTGCTACTTAACATGCTACGGAAACCCCTGTATCTGGTTTTCTTAGACGGGGATAAGTACCGGCTTTCAACTAAGAGTCAGATAAGCAAGGGCACATAATAGAAAAAAGGGAACCCCCCAGGAACGATCGTGTTTGAATCACCACTACAAACGGGCCCTCACGCGAGGAATCAGCCCCGGGACACCCATCTCGACAATCCTGGTCTTCGTCGTTATCGTCCTCTTCATCGTGCTCACCCTCGTCACCCTCGTCCTCATCCTCATCCTCATCCTCCTCATCCTCATCCTCCTCATCCTCCTCGTCCTCATATTCCTCGTGCTCGTGCTCGTTCTCATCATTCTCATCATCGGCACCTTCGTCTGACGATCCACCCCCAAACGGCTCCCATTGTTCATCGTCCTCAAAGTCCCGAACGGCCCTTAACGATGTACCTTTAATCTCCCCAGGACCTCGTTCTCCAGGAGATCGAGGAACATTCAGATCCTTGACTACGGCAGCCATCATGCGCTTCTCTATGCCACTACATCTATCGCGATGTCTCACCCACGCATCGACATCATAATCCCTTTCACGAAATGCAACGAGGTCATCGCATCCAGCACAGACGCACGCGCCACGAGAAAGTAGGTTTGGAACAATCCATTCCTCGTCAAGCAGGAAACGTTTGCGGCGGTATCGGATTCTGTTGTGGCAGGGTAGAAGGGAAGCGCAGTCCTTATAAACTACGAGCACCGCGCGCGGTGAAGAGGCGCGTATCTCATAGCGAAACGTCCAAGACTGACTGTAGGAGACGGGTTGGGAAGTGGCTAGTGATGGTCTGTAGACTTCAGGTTGCTGGTCTGGGATCCTGAATGAGAGCGGATGAGAATTTACTACGCGAAATTGAGATAGATTCATTACCGTCGTTTTTCATTTGCTGCATCTATAATGAATTCGATGTCGCGCATTCGGGACTTGGTGACGAGCACGCACAGTAGGTGAGTGCGTTGTCCCAATGGCCTGAAGTCGAGCTTATAACCTGAGAAGTCGAGGGCGTTCATGGGCGAAAGTGAGTGTCCGTAAGCACAAGGCAGGTTGAAGCAGTGGTGAAAGGTGAAGATGCTTAGGTGTTTGGCTCATTCCACTGGGGGCGTAAATACACGTGACGGTGTGGATTCCGCGCCCTCCCAATTATTTGTACGCGTTAGCTGGCTGCAACGCGTGAGCAAGAACAGCAGGACGCGCCGACAGAACTGCTCACCGAACCACCACGACCATAGACGACGAGGGGATTTATGACGGCCAGACGCTTTTCTTCGGACACGACGCGCTATGGCCATTTCGCCGCGAATAGCCTGGATCCACTGGGGATCACTGATTACTGAGTCTCTACCACCTTTAGGACACAGGCAAGCCGCGACGCCAATACAGTCGAGGCCACTCGACTCGTGTTCGCCATGGACCGTAGAGTTTCATACCAACCGGGGACACCTTCCAATTCGACCGTAATATGGATACATCGGCACAGAGTTTGGCCAGAGTCAGTCCTACTCATTTCGTGAGTAACTAGCGGTATCGACGTCCACATGATCTCGCTGGCACTCAGTGAGGGGCAAAGAGGGAGGGAGTCATTGAAGGCGTTGCGATTTTGTAAATGAGACATTTGAGTGTGCAGAGGTCACCGGGAGACGCGACAGCCGGCCACTTGGATGTGAGACTCCGACGCGCGTGCTCGTGGATGTTAAGATACCAAACCTGGGGGAACGTCGAGAGAGGATGTCGACACGTTCTCGTTGTATGAAACCATCAAGCGCAGGAAGTATGAGCAGTCGAATACAGGTGACTTGATATCTTGATTCTCCAGCTGATTCCATATCCGAGCCTCCTGGAAGAAATAGTATTATACGTGAACCTTTTGTTCATTTCATTTCGTACTCACTCACATCTTTGGAGGCCAGCAGTACTATTGCACCTGGCGCAGAGGTGACCCAGGCGAGCAGCACCTTACCCATAATACAACTATCTGCTCAAATCTAAAGTATCTTAAATCAATGGCCATAAGATCTCTAGCATACGGGGATACCTTCAGCCGTCATAGTTTCTTTGAGTCCCAGAATAATCGCCAAAAGTATCGTCTAGGAAGCCGTGGACTGCTAGCGGATAACAACGGAGAAGATTCATGTTTTTCTTCTCGGCACGTTCCGACCCGAGCTCCTATCTCGTTCATCGGACCGAATGCCGAAAAAAAAGTTAAGTGTCCCACGATTCTCTCTGCTTCATTTCGCCTAGGATCACTCTCCAACACTGTAAAACTTCTAATGTCTACCCAAGTACACGGCAAAGGACTTTTACTCAAAGCGGACCCCATCGCAGCCGTATTTCGAGAAGAAGTGTCGTCTTCCCTAAAAAATGCACCCCGAAAACCAAAACTCGTGGGTATTCTCGCAACTTCCTCCTCTCCAAGCAGGGTGTACGCAGAATTCACGAAAAAACAATGCGAGGAATTCGGTATAGACTTTGTGCTGAAGAAAACTGGGGCTGCGGAGTCGGCGGACTTGCAAGAGGGCGAAGGTGTTGAAGAAGCCATAATGGAAGCGAATGAAGATGATCAAGTAGATGGTATCATGGTATGGGTTTGCTCTGCTCCGAAAGTGTCACACAAATACCCTTCCCCCAGGTATACTACCCGATCTTTGGTGCCCAGCAGGTTTGTAGCAAATTTAGAATGATCCCAGCTTACTTGAACTCGTTTCTTTGGTAGGATCATTATCTTCAACAGGTATGCAATACCTTTGCATATAGAGAGCAGTGGTCTTAACTATTTCGTCTAGATTGTCACTCCATTCAAAGACGTTGAAGGTCTCAATGTCAAGTTTCATTACAACTTGTACCACAAGTAAGGATCTAGATCTTGATCCTTACTCAGGCTAGTCCTAAATTATCTCCCAAGCATTCGTTTCATATCGCCTCAAACCCTGACATCCTCGTTACCATCCAACGTCGCCGCTTCTACTACGGATGGCGATACGCCACCTTCGGGTATGGTCAAATCGATCATACCATGTACCCCACTCGCTATCGTAAAATGCCTTGAATACGTTGGGGTATACAATAGAATCCTGCCGTATGGTGATCGTGCTTATGGTAGAATAATTACTGTGATTAACCGGTGAGAAGCCAGACCTCGCCCTCCGAAGCAAATCCTGATAATCATGCAGATCAGAGGTCGTTGGTCGACCACTAGCAGCACTCCTGGCAAACGATGGCGCCAGGGTATTCTCTGTTGATATTGACTCCATTCAGGAATACAACAAGCGCCCACGGCAAACAGACGCCACTGGGACGCGTCGGTTTTATCCTCGTCACGTCGCGCAGCCTAGTGCACTCACTTTACATGAGTGCCTGGCCCTCTCTGACGTCGTCGTTTCGGCCGTACCAAAGGCGGATTATCAAGTCAAGACGGAATGGCTCAAGGACGGCTGTATATGTTTAAATATCGCCGTTGAGAAGAACTTTCAAAAGGACGTAAGGGACAAGGTAACGCATCTCTACTTGACTGGCGTCTCTTTC